GAGGCAGTATCACTACGGAAGTAGGATTGCCCAACCTTCCTTCCGAGGAGTGGCTGGTGGGTTTGAACCGCCAGCCTTCTGGTGAGCAGTCAAGTGCGTTGGCACTATGCTACCAGAGCTCCATAGATACTCAATAAATATTTGCTGAGTGAATGGATGGGTGGATAGAGAAGGAACATCTATCTTTTTCTTGGTGCAATTTATATACAGGAAGTGATATTGTAAACATATATTCATTCCATTTATTCATTTACCAAACAAATATTTCTTCCACACCCTTAAGTCCTAGGCATAATATTCTCCATCTAGTGGAGAAGAAAGATGACTGGACAGGGAATGACAATACACTGCAGTAAGTACCATGCAGGGTCTTTGGAAAAGCACAGAATAGGGATTGGTGAAGGCTTCTTAAAGATGATGGTGCTTGAAGAATAGGAGATATTAATCGAGAGGAGAAAAATTGAGGTGGAAGTGCAGAGAACAGTATTTCAAGCAAAGGTAACAGCATGTGATAGAACATGGAGGCTGATATGGACAACAAATTTCCTGTGTTGGGCCACAGAGTGGTCAAGAAGGGGTAGCTATAAGGGAAAACAAGGCTGGAGATAAGGTAGGACCAAGCTTGAGGGCCTTGCATGTTGTTGTTTTTTTTTAAAAATAGTTTGCATAAAAATCCAGAATCCTAACTTTTCCTGAAATATCAGAACATTATACCATACAAGGCCCACATGACTATAAGTGCCTGCATCTGAGTAAGTCCCCTTTAAGTGTTTTTGCTCTCCAATCTGTCAGTCTCCACTCAATCTGCTTCATTGATTATGTTATGACTGATCCTCAACCTCTGGTAAGGGCAGGAAATAGGGGCACAGTACACAATTAATGTCTGGCACAAAGAAGGTACTCCATCAGTACTCTGCTTAAAGAATGAATGAACTCATACCATTGCCTCCTACTGGAAAGGCTTTCCCTCCATCTCTGCCTGGGAAAATCCTGCCCTATTTCTCAAGGTTTAGCTCGGAGGCAGCCTCCTCTGTGAGGGCTTCCCACATATCATGTTTCCCATCCCAGCAGGTAGATGTGACCTCTCCTATGGCTATGACATGGAGGATATGAAGGCAACAAAACCAGGGTGCAGAGAAGTATTGGGGAGCACTGAGATAACTAGAGCTTGGATGTAGGTGGATGGAAAAATCTGAGGCTTCAACTTGTGAGTTTGTACCCTGAATGGAGAGTGCATAAATGGTGGGAAGCAGAGTCCACTGTAAAAGAATTAAAACAGACTCCAGTTTTCCAAGCTTGGAATTTTGTCTCTTTTCATTTTATTTTCTCCTCTTATTTTTCTCTCTTTTATTTTTCCCTTTCTCTCTCTCTGTTCCCTGAACCTTAACTGGCATGAATCAGTTAAAGGACAACCTGCAGGCTTACAAAGATAGTTCTCAAAAGAACTGTTCCAACAGCAGCCAAAATGAGATTGCACCAACAATCCCCCCCAAAAGCTGTAATATGCCAGAGTAATCTCCAAGCATTCCAATAGCAAGTTTTGCAACAGTTACAGATAAAGGAAACTGCAACCTGGAATGACCATAGTCATGTACCCCCTCTCTTCTCCTTGCCCTATAAAAACCCCAATCCGGGGATTTATGTAAGAGATTCTGGATAGAGTGAGAGTATAATGTGGAATAAAACTCAAAATCTCTCTCTCACACACACACAAAAGGGACCAAGTTTGCTGATCTGATACATCCTTGTAGAACCCCTGAGACTATGGCTACTAGCTGCCCTTCAGGTCTGGAATTGAATCCACTCCTGTGGTTTCCAGCCAAAAAAAGACATGCATATAAGGTGAACATTTAC